CATGGATTTGGAAGTGTCACCTCTGCGGGATTTCAGACCACCTACTGTATTCATCTTGTAGGGAATTCATAATGACAAGGCTAAGTCCTCAAAGCCCTAATTATTATACCTTTCTGTCAAAAAACCCCAAATCTTGTAACTCTTACACCTGTAAGGACTAGGAGCATAGATCCACCTATTCCTGAACAAACTGTTGCTCCTTTCTTTCCTCCTTGGGGACCTGCCTTAACACAGGTGGTGATCACGCTTCTAATAATGTTTGATCAAACAAGATTGATCCAAAGAATTAATGCAAACTGAGTTTCCTTTATTTAGAACCTGCAATTTAATTGCAATGAGAGAGACCTTGGGCATACAGCAGAGTAATTATTTTCATTCCTCCAGAGTCCTGCTGTTGCCCCCACAGCCTTCCGATCCAAATTCCTGGAGCAGCCTCTGTGCCTGTTGCAGACTGTCTCCTCCAGAAGTGATGGAGGAATGTCCTCATCAAAGAAGTCTGTTTGCTTTTTTGCCCTGTTTCTCTCTCTTTTCTTGTCCTCTTTACCTCCCTCTTGCCCCTAGAAGTTTTTTTTCCCCTATCTCCTGTCCACAAACTGTTGAAACAATCTGACCTCCACTTTCTCAGGCTGCTCACCATTGCGCAGGGCGAGTAAAACTTCAGTAATAGGGGGCCTGACGTGGTTTTTCTTGATCTCTGCATGAAATTAAACCCAGATGGTGGGGCTGCCTCTGGCAGCTCTGGTGATGCGAAGGTTGGCAAACGCGCGTGTGCCCGGCTGTGGACTGGCAGAGTGCGCTCCCCATCACCTTGATTTGCACTCCTTTACTTCAGGGTTTGAACAACGTAGCTGTCAACAATTTCCTCTGAATATGTGTTATTTTAGTATGCATTTATTCATTTTACTCCTTAAAATCAGCAGAAGAATGAGTAAAGCTTTTCTATCTTAAGATTATTTGGGACACCGGATAGTTTTTTAATTTTAAGCTTGTCCCAGGCTCCTTTCAATCTTTCGTGTTTCCCTCCTGCTTCGTTTCCGTGACTGCCAAAGGTGTGAGTGCACCGCTCAGAGTTGCTGTGTGGTGTGGCCCTAAATGGTGCTCCCAGTTGCCCCTGGCTGCAGGCACTGCCGCCTCCAGTCTGGGCTCAGCAACACTCCCTGGCTGTGGTCAGAGGGGTGCCGGGCATCAGGTACTCGTTGGCGTAAGGCTTGGGGAGCAACTCCGGTGGGAAACTGCTGTACAGCCCCGGTGAGCAAAACTCCACTGTAGGAAACGTTAAAATTATAGTAATATTCATTATTAGTAAAGAGCTGGAAAAGAAAACCAAGTCATTGCATGACCAGCCAAACCAAAGAAGCCTGAGTTCATGCTGAAATATGTTTTAAGGTTTGGATCTCGTTAGTGAGGCGCGGAGCTCACCTTGCACTTGTTCCTTCTGTGGGTCGGTAAGGAGCGATTATCGTGGCGTAACAGGAATAGAACACAGTGGCACTGAACAGGGTCTCGCTTCTGTACCAGGGGGTTTGTTTTGAGACCAGTTGTCGGAGAAAGAAGGCGAGAGGCAGATGCACACATGGAGTGTGTGTCAGACGCTCATGTCTTCAAAGAAAACACATTCAGGACTGAGCACGTTGCTTGCTTGACTTCTTTGGCCGTTCTTCTGAGAAGCAGTGTCCAAACTGAATGTCACCAAAAGAAAAATTGAGGCAAAAATATGCTGTTTCCCTTAAGCTTTTTGCTCTGTTCGTTTGGCAGCCCAGCCAATAGAGATGTTATAATACGGGTATAGTAGTAATTAGAGATAAAGGGAAGTGCCCAGAAAACAAGCGGTTCTCCAAGCGGAGCGTGCAGCGGAGCCTGGCTTCCCGCGGAGCTCTGCCCCTCGCTCTGCGGCGCTTTGTGCTTACGTGATGCAGTAGCTCATTTCAGCGGGGTTTACGTGATGGTTTAGGGGCTGATGTTGCCAAGTGCACATACAAGTGGTAGTACCTACGCTCACGCATTGATCAGCACTGGTGTGTGGCCCCAGATCTTGGAGTCGTGCGATTATTGTGCAAATCTGATTTTTCTTGGAAATCGATGAAACGCTAGCCTGTTTGCGGGGGAAGGTTGGGCAGTGAATCCCTAGGAGACAAGACCCGGGAGGTGAGCGTGGAGGACCCGAGGTGCATCGTGCTACAGGGACAGAGCGAAGCAAAGCACGACCCCTCCTGGGGTTTGCCCTGAGGCAGCGGTGGGGGTTTTGGGGGAGGTCTGACTCGAGATTTTTAGAGCGCTTCAACCACTGCACTCGGCTCAAATTTTGTGTTCTTGCTTCTTTATACCTTAACGAAGACAACCAGGAACTTTCTCCTTGTGATAAAACAGGAGAAGAAGTATTTGGAGAAGGACTTGGGGGCTAGGGATGCTGCTGGAGATGGCTGTGGATTTGGTTTGGTTCCATGCTGGTGTGGGTCCCTGGTGACAGCGCAGTGTCCCGGCCCGGCGCGGCGGTCGGCGTGGGTCTGCCCGGGTTGCTGCACGCTCAGCTGTGTTTCTTGCTCGGGACAGGGTTTAGCAGGCGTGGCGGTGGTGGGGTGACAGTTGGACTTGGTGATCTGAGGGGTCTTTTCCAACCTTAATGATTCTAGGGTTCTCTCTTCCTTTTGTCGTTACAGATAAAGAGTCGGGGGTCGGTGGGCTCCCCGAGAATGACGACCCCGGCGCCAGGGGCCCTGCTGTCCCGAAGGTGTCGGGACTAGA